TTTTCTAAATAGAATTTCTTTTCTGACCTCTATTAAGTCCACCGTGATATTACTTGGCCTCAGGCTCTCTAGCTTTAGGGTAGAGATGAGAACTTGGTCTGCATTTTCAACTGGATTCTTTTCACATTGGCCCACATGATGAGTCTTAGCAAATTACATGGTCCTGAGGTACGTTGTTGTTATCTAGCTAACAAACACGGTCGGGGATGTGGGCGGCACGTTGTGCAGTTGCTCCCAAAGCAAGCGCATACAGTACTGTATGTCCTAATTAGGGTTCTATCTCGATATGTTGCAAATGGTCCATCGTGGACCCCACAAAATCATTGTGTGCTCCCAGAGGAGGCTATTAAGAAAACATGAGTCTGTGATTACCATGCTGATTGGTGGTTTAGACAACACCACGCGTTTACCACGAGCCCTCTTGAATAAGGTCCATTCGCTGGGTGGGTACTTCATATTTAAGTCTGACTGAGATATCTAATACAGTGGTTTTCAAACTGTGGTCGTGTCTTGACTAGAAAACTGTAAAAAGCTATTTTATGAATATGTGTTTTCTACAATGTTTAATGTATAATTTCTGACTTTAACAAATGTAATATAGCTTTACCTAAGACTCTAGTGCTTTCTTACTTGTGGGATGAAGACAATGAAAAGGTGTTGAAAAGAAGCACATGTACATAGATCTGTGCATAACTGTTTTATCCAATGTGCTGAACAGAAAGCAAGAAAAATAAAAACTACAGATCAACAAAAAGAGGAGAAATTATGAAAAAATTGTGTTTGCTCTCAGGGAAATAATCTAGATACTTTCATGAAAAGTGGCTGACTGAGAAATACTGGATTCAGCACTTTATTTTCTTTCTTTCTTTCTTTCTTTGACGACGCATTAAAAAAATTAAACAAACTTAAAAATTATCAATTAAAAAATTAAAGTGATAAATATAACAAAAATATTAAAATAATTAATATAATAGAAAGATTACAACAAATAATAAAACATTAAAATAATAAACATAATAGAAATATGCATTCAAAATAATATAGACGCTGAAATACAAAATGCATTTATCTTTAATGTAAAAGATCTGTAATAAATAAATAAATAAATATTTTTTTATTCAGCAAGGATGCATTACACTGATCAAAAGTGGCATTATCAATACATTTAAAATACAAAAGATTACAAAAGATTTCTATTTCAAATAAATGTTGTTCTTTAAAAAAAAAACTGGGGTTGCAAAAAGGTGGAAATTTCCAGTAAATTTAGGAAACTTTCCAGGACTTTTTGGAATTGTTCAGGAATTTTTGGAAAGTTTCCAGAAATATACCAGAAATGTTCCACCCCTTTGCAACCCTAATCACAATATTGATAATAAAAAGAAATGTTTCTTGAGAACCAAATCAGGATATTCACATGATTACGTGACACCGAAAACTGGAAAATTCAGCTTTGCCATTACATAAATAAATTACAATTAAAAATATATTAAAGTAGGAAACAATTATTTTAAATTGTAATAATATTTCACAATATTACAGTATTATTGATCAAATAAATGCAACCTTGGTGAGCAGTAGAGACATCTTTAAAAAAACATTGCACAATTTGCACATTTCAGTGCTAAAAGTATTGCTGTGACTAGGTGTTGCCTGGATGTTTGATCAGACCATACTCCGTACTTGGCCTGAATAATCTAACACAGCCCACCCATGTCCATAAAATCTCAGAAATCAACTCGCATACCCTCGACACACATCCAGGCATCTGCACTCACGCACAAGCTCGAAACCACATACTCTACATGACAAGCGCTCGGAGACAGATTGCGATTAAACACTCCATTAGTTTCTAAAATTCTCTCACCCTCGCTGTGAAAACAAACTGAGAAGGACATTGTGTTTTAGTTCAGAGCTGCGAACGCCCACACAGGCCAACAACATGACCTCATTTAACAATCCAATCACATTCAGACTGTTTCGCCCACCGTCATATAGACCTAACGCACAACGAAGAAGCATGGAAATGTGATTATAACCAAATAAAGCGGCAAGTGGCATAAAAACACGCTCGCTACAATATTCATTTGGTGTTTTAACATGTAATCCTCTTGTGCTACCTGCTAAGCGGTACACAGAAAGGTCCGCTTGCTTTCTGTGGGTTGCGTTTGATGAACAGGCAAATGTGGGTGTGCAGACATGAAAAATGCAAGTGTTGCCCTGCCTGGGCTCAGTGCCATGACAGACTGTGGAATCAGGGCGGCTCAACGTGAACAGAAGACCAGGAAACATTAACCATCACAGGCAGGCAGTCAGCGGCAAAGCATTCTGCTAAGGTTTGGGGGCCGTGGGCCGATCTGCAGGGGAGCTGACAGCACGTTTCAGATATATAAACAACAAAAACATCTAGTCGCTGCAGAAGGAGCTGACACCACACTGCTCGGAACCCTCACAAGCATGAGAAATAACTGTGTTTCTTAGTACATGTGTACTCTGGAAAAAGAGCAATGGATGTTGCTCTCTTTTCTCTCTTGAACTGCAATATCCTGAGGATACTTGCTAAAAGAATGCTAAGAGAGATGACAGAGCTGCAGGAGTGAGATAAGCAGAACACGAAACTTGTACATTATTAATGACCAAACAATGCTATAAGTGAATTACAAATGCAGGCATTGAAGCTGAGGGCTCTGTCCCGTAGAGTACAGTCGGGAAAAAAAGCTGTGTTACAAAACCAAAACAAAAAAAGACAGCATCCTAACTGAAATTATCATAAAAACTTATTTAGGTCCAGGGTCCCAATTAAAAACGTGCCAGGCTCGAAATGAGAAAAAAAACTGGCTTGCATTAATATGAACTGTGTCGTAACATATTTTTGTGACCTTTCCTTATTTAACTCTGAAGAAAAAAAACTTTTGCAATGCACACATCTTACTATCTGAGGTTAAAACGCCTCCGGAACTCCATATGGTAACACATATGTGAAATATTTCTGTATGAAATTGAGATGTTACAATAAGGTCTTTACTGATAATCAAAGACTGGCTCATCTTATATATGATGCTGCAAATGATGCGGTGACCTGCTGCTTGTCACAAATATGTGAGGGATAATATATTATTTGATAATAAAACGCTGCGAAATACAACATTTTTAAAAATAATAAAAATGTTAAATAATAATAAATCAATATTAATTATACATTATTAATACAGAATAATAATATTAGTACTAAAACTTATAATACAATTATTTTGGTTATTCAGTTATTATTATTAAATATTATAGAGAGACTGTCTCATCATTTGAAGATACAGTGACTTGCTGTACGTTAAAAATATGCAAGGGCTAATAATACTGAATCAAAAAAAAGCCTGCAAAATAAAGCATTTTTGTTCAATTATAATAATGGAAAATATTATTAAAATATTAATAAATAAATAAATAATAATAATAATATAGACAAAGATTGGCTGCTCTTATATACAATTTTGCGATCCAATGAACCATTGTATGTCACAAATATGCTAAAAATATTATTTATTAAAAAACATAGCCAAAAAAAAAAACAGTTTCATGGCTGTTAAGAAATATTTATAGCCAAACAAAGATTATATTCACTCATCATTGGCAGATGTGGCAAAAAGTTAATTCTGGACACTGTTTAGACAACAATCATCCCACAAATACGGCTCCTTATACATCTGTAGCTGAACATGTTGGATCCACAAAAAAATTTGCAAAAATAGTATCCTTAGGGTTTCAAAGCATGTGACTGGCATAGTAGCCTCAAAAGTAAATATATATGCCTAATCTACCCCTAAAGTCTGCATATATGTATATTAGATAAGGTATAATTATACACCCTTTAAGGGTTAGATAAAGTTTACTTTTAAGGAAACTGCCTCGGTGGCTTGCTAAAAGGTATAATTTTGGCAAAGGAAAATACACTGTTTCAGTCACTGAAAGCCTGAATTGTTCAAATCATCTCAAGAACCTGTTTATGTGGGTGGTTGGAATGCTCAACATAATATTTTAAAAAGAAAATCTCACAAAAAGTCTTTACAATAACTGCTTTGTTTTCTTCAAAGGACATACAAGTTTAAAGAGAGAGAGAGAAAGAGGGAAAAAAACTGACTTCTAGAACAGACGGCAGCTGACTCACTGAAAGTGGACAGTATATGAGGCACCTTTGAGAGTCATTAGCGTTGTTCACTTGAGAGGCATGACTAACTAATGAGGCGGCCATTTCCATTCATGTCGACTTCCAATAGAGTCACTATTTGTGTTTTTCAAGCCATCATTAAGCTCACAGCATTATTAGATAAATATTAACCGTGCCGCTCATTAGAGGCCATTCGACTGCATGGTCTCGCTTAGTCTGTTCGAACCGCAGCCAGGAAGTAAGGAAAAGCTGCAATTGTTGATAAGGTCACAGGGTGTGTTTAATCCCGGACGCTTGGCAGGAATCACACCACAACGTGCCAGCAGAGAAAGAGAGAGAGGGATGGTCGCGCTCGCCCCCCAGCCCCCTACAGGCGGATCAGTGGAGCAGGTCGCTTCTGCCCACAGATGGGCACCCCGCACACTTTTGTCCCCAGCTCGCCTTTGCACAGCTGAACGGAGGCCATTTCTGAGAGCCCCTCTCCCTAGGAAACACCGAGCTAATGCACTTTAATTGAATTTCCCTCTGTCTACTCTAATCACAGCCTAATTACACAGATCCAGTCCCGGGTCACGGCACTGCTCTTTTAGAAAGTTCCGAAGCACTTCCGTTGTCTTTCCAGGAACACAAAATGACCTTCTCATTAACACAAAGGTGAAGGATTGTTTTAATAATGCATATAGCAGTTATATTCAATAAGGTTTCATAAACAGTGGCCGAGAGTTTGTGTGGGAGATGTCTAAACAAATTTTACATTGCATTAGGAAACGCATTGAGTGGGCCGTAATTGTATTATATGCGACATGATGCAGTGTGCTTGATGACACGGTGTTGTTTTTACCTCAGCCCGAACAAAACCCAATCCAAATGCGATCTGCTTCCCAAAGGACGTTTGGTTGTCCGTGCTGTTGTTCCAGCATTTCTGAAAAACACAAATGATCTAAAGCTTTAAGTTTAAACATGCATTCATTTCATTTCGTCCTTTTTTTATCACTTCTAAGAGTGCAGATACAAGTTTTGCAGATTAAAGGTGTAGTTTAGATCACATTTTAAAAGATAAACAGTGTATTTTCCCATAAGAGTAGACTGGATGGAGATGGAAGTGGCAGAAATGTATTATACACATGAGTCAGAGATCTCAGAGTGCCCAGGTAGCAGTTAATGGTCGAGACAACAGTGCACAGTCAACTGTTTAATTTCTTCCCTTGCAAACAAGCCCTTGACATTTTGACCTCCAGAAGAAGGAGGTAAGAAACACAAAGCTGTTTTAATTATCTCTGCAAGCAATCCACTGACGAATTGTTGAGACATTCTTGCCTGCGATGACTTACCGACCCTTGTCTTTCATCATGGCTTTATTTCCCATAGCAGTTAAGGTGACATCCTCCGCAGACAACAGGTCCAAGGTCTGCTTCACTTAATTCTGTTAAAGTAACATCTCTTCCTGTTGTTATCTCTAAAGGCCGCGGCAAACGATCTTGCCATGGATGGCACTTTCAGGAGTTGTTGCTTTCATTAAATTGCCATTTTCTCTTTCATGTCTTAGAATGAGCCCCAGGGCAAAGGTTCAAATAGATTCATCAGAAAAGTTTTCCTTTTTAAACGTTCATAGTACAATTCTCCTACCTTGAAAGAGAAAATGGTAGCTGATGATTATGAATATATGTGAGATTGCTGGGCAGCACAGGTTATTTTCTGTATTTGTATAAACACGCACCGAGGTCATTCCTGCCAAAGGAAGGTCAACTGGTTATTAAAGCGAAGGGTTTTCTGTTGTGCACTGTGAATGTTTAAAAAGGTGTGTTCAATAAAAACGAACACAATTTGTGTTATTTAAGCAGACATGTGACTTAGTAAACAATATGTGTCACGATCTCTAGCATTCCAGACTCTTGCCACTTCACCCCGGACTCCATTTCCCATAATCCTTTGCCCGGACTCATCATCAATTGCAATCACCTGTCTCTCATCACCTCATGGACCTGGCCCTCCATCCCCTGTTCCGCCTCCGCTATACCTCCCTCCTGGACTCTTGTCTGTTAAGGAGTGTCTGGAAGCTGGGGGGGGGGGCTCGGTTACAATCGCCAGCTGGAGTGCCCATGAGCTCCGCTAGAGGGCACCCCATCCTGTATCTTTGCCATTCACCCAGGACTTCCCATAATCCTTTGCCCGGACTCATCTGCACTCATCATCATTGCTAGCACCTGTCTTTCATTACCACATTAGCTCACAGCTGTCTCATATTAGGAGGACTATAAAGATTGCACTAGCACTACAAGACAGTATTCCACAAGACAGGCAATGGTCAGAGCATGCAGCAAACAATCACAAAAAAACAGATAAACAGATAAAACACGGAAACTCGGAGAACATTACAGGCTAAACATTCAATCACCAGCGATGTGAGTATGTGTGTGTGCTGTTTTTATGGTGTGAGGCTGATGAGGTGATGAGAGACAGGTGATTGCAATTGATGATGAGTCCGGGCAAAGGATTATGGGAAATGGAGTCCGGGGTGAAGTGGCAAGAGTCTGGAATGGAGTGCCCTCTAGCGAAGCTCACGGGCACTCCAGCTAGAGATCGTGACAATATGATCATATTTCATGATTTATACAGATATTTGAGTACATCTAAGGGTTCACATACTTTCCCCCTGCAACTGTAAAATGACTATATTCTTATTTTGTACTTAAATAGTGATTAATTAGTTAAAACATTTATATTTGACCAAATATTTGTGGTTCCAGCATCAAAATGTTAGTTTAGCCACATGTTTTAAACTTCAAAAGTAGTTCAAACCAAACTTTCAGTCATACAAACCTCATTTCTATTAGGCTGTTACATGGTACCTTTTCACTATTCTTCACCAAGGCTGAGCATTTAAATAAATCATATTTCATGACTAACTCGTACATAAATTTGAGTACATTTAAGGGTTCACATACTTTTTCCAACAACTGTAAAGAGGGCTATATTCTTACTTAATTATCCATATGAAAGAGTCAATTGTTAACATTTTGCCAAATGTTTGCAGTGCTATCATCAAAAAGTGATTAATTCGTTGAAAATGTTATATTGTATATCAAAATGCTAGCATAACCACATGTTTCAAACTTAAAAAGAAGTTAAAACCAAAATTTTTGTCATTCAAACCTCAAATCTTCCAATAGGCAGGTACATACATTTGGGTTGCACTTTATCTTACAGTATGTGCACTTACAGTGTACTTACCTAAGAAAGTACTGGTAATATAAGGTAATTGCATGGGGTAGGGTTAGGTTTAGGGGTAGGTTCAGGGTTAGTACATATTTATTGCCTAGTTATTGTAATTACTATAATAAGTACATAGTATGTACATGAGTAACAGGACTGTAAAATAAAGTGCTACCGAAATTTGAGTACATAATACTTTTCCAAGCAACTGTAAATAGGTATATATTTTTTATTTACTTAATTATCTAAAAATGTGATTTAGTTAATATTTTACCAAGTAATTATTGTGCTAGCATCAAAATGCTAGCTTACCACATTTCAAACTTCAAATGTACAGTGGTTAAAACTAAACTTTGTCATACAAACAGTTCTCAAATCTTGCAATAGGCAGGTACATGGCATCTTTTTACTATTCTTCACCACAGTTGAGCATTTAAATCCCTATGTATTAGATTTCAGGTAGAAGTACTACCACAGACAGCCTGTCAACAGGAGTGCACACAGCATTCTACTAAGGTTAGAGGGCCGCAAGCAGATCTACAAGTAAGGTAGCAGCGTATTTTAGATATATAAACAAAAACTGTCACTGCAGAGGACAATAACACCACATAGCCCTCTATAAACGTTCATGAACCCCTCTAGCATATGATTTTACAATAAATATATGTCCTCATAGGCATGTGTAGTCTGAATATAGATGCATTCATGCTAAGAGATGCTCGTTTGTTTTCCAATATCCTGAGGATACTTGAACAAATGTGCAGAATGCTAAAAGAGTTCACAGAACTGTAGGAATGAGAAGTGAAACGCAGGGCTTCTACATTATTAATGAGCAAACAATGTCATAAATGAATCATGAATTAGGGCATTTAAGATGCCTCAGAAGGGTTGGGCAACTCGGAGATCGAGCAACACACAATGAGGTCAAGAGATGATGCACAATCCATGACGAATGAGAGGGAAAAAAGATGTTAAGATATCATTAAAGTTGTAATGCACATCAGCAGCTTGCCTATAAAGCATTAGCCAATCCTGAGGGGAAATAAGGACAAACATGACAATGAATGTAACTAGTCTTCAAAGACTATGAGTTTTTTAAATCTTTTAATGATAAGTGGATTTAAGTATTATCATTTAAAAAAAATGCTACATATATGTACTAATGGGAAGACTAATTGTATAAAAGCAAGTAAACAACTCACACACTGTTACTTCAGCATAATACTTTAAATGGCAGGAGAACATGATCTGTGGGAGATTTTAGTGTGTACCCCAATCAGTTTGGTAAAATTTAAAGTAAATCTCAGCATCTGTCACCAATATTTACAGAGCTTTGATGACTGATGATCCGAAAAATTCAGTTAAAACCGTTAAAAGATAACTATTAAAAGGAATAGCTGAACATAAGTTCACAAAAGAAATATATATTTTTATATTGTTACTGCCTTGAGTTATTATTTTGGAATAAATGTAATAACTTGAGATTCATACTTGGCTTTAATAAATAGAATATTGATTACATTGTTAAAGTACAAATACTTTTTTTTCTTTTTCTGATAGTGTAAGTAATGTTTATATCAACAAGAAAATGTTACTGGGACTTGATTTAATAAAAAACTAAAACTACACCCGTGTATATAGCAAATGGTTCTTGAGCACCAAATCAACATATCACAATGATTTCAATGATAAAATTATTACTGATGAAAGTTCAGCTTTGTCATCGCTGGAATAAATAAATTTTAAAGTATATAATTTTTTTTTATTTTTACTGTTGCTGTATTGATCAAATACAAGCTGACCTGGTTGCTTTAGAGACTATAAGAAAATTCTTTCAAAAACTTATTTCAAAATTTGATCCGAATTCAAAAGTTGTATTCGTGATAAATATGAGGTGCAAACAGCATTGTGTCCCAGCTGTTCACTTGGATCAATGGATCGCTTCAACAGAGATGGAGATGGATGAGAAGTTAAAACACCCCAAGGCATCTGTGTTGTTGAAATCCAAATCAGAACTGGCTTATTTTCTCAATTTTGATAGCAATACTCAAACAGAACTTGTGGACAGCAACATTTGCATGGGCGTAAGGAAACAAATCATTTGCATAAAACCCTGTCAAAATATCAGGCCTCTGCTCAACAGCAGACGAGAATGAACAAAACAAAAAAATCCCATCACGCATCATGGCACTTGTTTGTTCAGTCTCTGAAAACATTTGCTGGGACACAGATTCTTCTGCGAGCTAGTAAATAGGAACATTACTCTATTAAGCAGTGATAAATTGCTTTATTCTTCTCCTCGATTTGTGCTGTCCTACAGAAACGCCAGTTATTCCACACTGAAGGGCTTGGAACACTGATGTACACACTTCAACTCTGTTACCTTGGAAACACAGCCCGAAGTGAAGAAGGCGTCTGAAAAGCGGACAGTCACTGTCAGTGAGGATTCCAGCTGGTATTGCTGTAAACATCCGAGCCATACGCTGCTAATATGACCAAATGGGATCGGAGAGCAGAGCTCCTTGTATCTGGTGAAACGCCAATCTAATTTTCCAAAAAAATGGTTTGCACTTCACACATGGTTTGGCTTTACACATAGTTCAGTTCTCCTTGCTCATCCCTGGGCTCGAACTTCACATTTTACTATTTGACTGAACTAATGAATAAGAAAATTCTGAGAAATATAATGAACCTATATTTACATAAACA